AAATTATTCGGGTAAAGTTTTAGGGGTTATTTTGAACCTTTATGGAATCAAATTAAGCCCAAATTTGGCAAAAAAAATAACGTAAATGCCCCATTTTGTGTGTCGAGAAATATCTCAATTTGTGTGCCGGTTTTTTATCTATGTAAATTTTCCAGGTTTTATTAACTATGTAAATTGTCCAGGTAAGGTTTTGACGGTCATTTTGATTCTTTATGGAACTTAAATTAGCTCGGAATTGGCAAAATAATAATGTAAATGCCTTGTTTTGCGTGTTAATATCGTAATTTTATTTACCGTAAAAATTACAAAACGAGGCATTTATGTTAATTTTTTGCCAAATATGAGTTTAAATTAGTCCTTAAAGAATCAAAATGACCCTCAAAACCTAACCCGGTCAATTTTAATGGTTAAAAAAAAAACACGCCAATCGAGATTTTTCGTAACATACAAAACGGGGCATTTACGTTATTTTTTGCCAATTTCGAGCTTAATTTGAATTCATAAAGGGTTAAAATAACCCCCAAAATTTTACCCGAATAATTTTCGTCACAAAAATCGAGAAAAAAAATTATTTTTATTAATTAAAATAAATGTTAAAATGAACTAATCATATCATGACATGTGTCATGATTTAACTAATGAAGTTTAACGGATGTTAGTCATTAATGGCACTTGGTAAATTTTGTAAAAACTCAGTGACATTTAGTGAATTTCAAAAACCTTTAAACTTTAATGACATTTGGTGAATTATTAAAGTGTTTAAAGGCATTTGGTAAAATAGTCGTAAATTTTGCGAAGTTAGACCAAGTAGTTAAAAAAAGAAGAAGAAAACGTTGGATGGAAAACACGTCAGCATGAAAAGAAAAAAAAAACTAAATAAAGGAGAGAGAATAAAATACGAGGTACGCAGGAGAAGAAAAAAGGAGAAATGGTATTGGACGTTTGGGGAACAAAAGAGGCAAATAGTGGAGCTTTCCCGTACTATTGGATTGGACTATTCTGGAAATTATTTCCTTTTTCTTACTTTTATTCCTTTTTCCTTTTTTTCTAACCCCCGACCTCACCTACCTATTACGCTCTTACGGCTACGATATCTTGCTACGAGTACAGTACATCATTTTTTTGTACGCTATTTCTACATTTATTGTTTTTCCTTTAATACATTTATTTTCTCAACTTGGCAATTCGTACATAATGAAAATTAACAAGATTTGGAGTAAAATACTATAAATACTTTTCGTACTTCCTTTATATCATAATTACGTACGTTCATGTAATATCATTTTTAAACAATATTTCATTACGGAATAATTAATTATATTAAAATTATATTTCTTCGTCCTATGTTAACTAGTGTTATTAATATATATGTGCGATTAAAAAAAGAATAACATAAGACTGGGAGAATGCCTATAATAGTGTTGTTGTTTTATTCCTTTTATATATATATATATATATGGGATCATGTGAGAACTCATGGCTTAGGTGAGAACCATTTTAAAATGAGAACCCATCTAACACCATTCATTTTTATTAGATGAATGGTTCAGATTTATTGTTTCATTAGTGGGAATTCACGTGGACCACCTTCATTAATTGTAATGATTGTTTGTATTTATTTTTTTTTTAATTTTTGTGCGTTGGGACACAAAATCTGTCAAAAGCTGTCATTATTACATGTTTTTTATTATTTATTGCATTGAAACACAAAATGTAGTTGAAGTATACGTCGTAAATGATGTTTCGTAAAATATATCAAGTGTTTCAATTTATAATATTAATGTTTCATATATATTATTGTCTGTTTCATATAGTTGGGCTTTATATGAATTAGGTGTACTGTGATTTCTTATACCTTATCTGATATTTCAAAAAATATACCTTATGTTTCATTTTATAGTGCTTATGTTCCATAAAATATATGTGTTGTTTCATATACTAATGATATTGCTTTTTGTATTGGGACACAAAATCTGTCAAAAATTGTCATTATTATAAGCTTTTTATTATTTATTGCATTAAAACACGTTAATTTGCATTGGAAAACCAATAGATTGTTCAGTAAAATGCAAGGTTCACATAAATTCGAACGTTACGTTAAAATGTAGTTGAAGTGTACGTCATTAATGATGTTTCGTAAAATATATCAAGTGTTTCAATTTATAATATTAATGTTTCATATATATTATTGCTTGTTTCATATAGTTGTGCTCTATATGAACTAGGTTTACTGTGATTTCTTATACCTTATTGATGTTTCAAAAAACATACCTTATGTTTCATTTTATACTACTTATGTTCCATAAAATATATGTATTGTTTCATATACTATTGATTTTGTTTTATACATAAAAATCATTGATGTTTCATATAATATTTCATTCGAATATTATTTATATTGTTCCAGAAATATGAACTATTGTCCCATAAATATTATACATTGTTCCATACCATATGTGTGAAATGTACTAATGACTGAAATGCGTGTTCCCAAGAAAATGTATGGGAAAGTGATAATTAATCTCAGCCATCCATAATCTCAAAATTGATGGTGTAAGATTGGTTCTTATTTTAAGAGGGTTCTCATATAAGCCTTGGTTCTCACATGATCCCACCCCTATATATATATATATAATTAACATTTTGGCCAACTATTTGTTCATCCTTTTAAGAGGTCGTGATGAGCCCCTTTTTTTTCAAGAATGATTGCCTTCAAGTACGTCTACTTATCTTTAGCTTTTAAAAGATTTAAGGGTTAGAATCCGGGAAAATAAATTTAGGATAAAGATTGAGAATTTTTTTTTATTTATGCTTAAGACCATATATAATTTTATAATCTTTTTATTTCGTTTTAAATTATACTAAGTTTGTTTTTGAGTTTTTCTAAGTTGTTTTATAACTTGTTGACATATAAAATTTTCAACTCTCACTAGCTCGCCAAATAATATATACCATCTTTCCCACACAATAGGCACTCTCTTGCTTCTTCCCATGTGAATTTTGAAAAACAAATCCATGCTTAAGACTCCAAGATCGTCTATTAAAGTTGCCACATCGTCTATTAGCATAATGAGTTTTTTTTTACTAGTTTAAAGTGAGTCTTAAATGAGTTTAAGGTAAAGTATTAGAAAAAAGAGTATATACATGAGTCTGCGGGGATAGACATGCGATGGAATTGCTGGGTCGAGCGGATAATAAAAACATAGGTAATTAATGAAAAGATGACATGACATAGTCTAAGGTGTGAAGTTGGATATATATGAAGGATGAACTAACCCTTGGAGGTGATAAAGAGGCTAAGGCGAAAATTATTTAAAATCCATTGTTTGTATACAAAAGGGATAGACTTTAGATGAAGGGGGTTAGGGATATGGATGAGGGACGGGGCGGGGGGGGGATATAGATAAAACACCCCCTTTTTCTAATAATTTAATATGTAGTGAGGTGGTGTGATAAAGCTGATAATTAAGTTTATAGAGACAAATTCACCTTGAATAAAAGAGGGGGTGGTTTATAAGAAGGTAGTTTGTAGAGAATTTTAGGGGTGTCAAGTTTGTCTCTTATATATCTAAATCTTATTCTTAGCTCATATGAGCTAGACTCACTTTATAGCTTACTTTCACCAAACTAAATTTGGCATAATGGAAAGATGAACTACCTTAACATGTACTAAATGCTCAATTCCCATTAAGGATATTTTAGATAAGGGATTTTTTCACCGTTTTCAAAGCGCACAACCTGCTAACTCCGACTAAGTTGACCTATAAGGGATTCCGATTGGTAAGATCTTTATTTTAACCTGTATACGAAAAAAAAGAGTGCTAGACACACATAAGTAAGTGCTTGCTTTATCCTTGTTATATTCACCAATATTTCTCTATCTTTATCCCACCTCTTATCTCTATTTCTCATTAATCCTTTTGTTAAAGGTATGTAGAAAAAAGTAATTTATTTCATTTTCTAACATTGTGTAAAGATTTTTAAGGAATCATTATATGATATACGTTGTATACATATGTTTTAAACGTGTATTATGACTAAAGATGATGTGAGACAAAGACTCAGCAAAGGTTACGCTTGAAAAAGAAACTGCGGGGTGATTAGGTTGAAAATTAGAGTAAAGATGATGATTAATTATTGGGGGTAAGAAGGATTCCAATAAAGGAAATTAAGTAATTAATTACGTTTCTTGTGTTAGCGCTGTCTGTTTCCATTAGTGGGTAATGTTAGTGACATTAAACAATTGTAAGAGAGAGAAAGCATGAGACATAAAAACTTTTCGATTTGGTTTACGTCGAAAAAGTAATGTAAAAAGAAAGAGACCGTTCTTTCAAGTTTCAATTCCTATACATTTATTTACATTACTTGCCCCTTCCTTCTTCTTTACTCTTTTGGTTTCCTTGGACCTCCAATCACAGGAGAGAGAAACTTCAACAAAGACTAAAGTTAGCAAATTGTAGTAAAACTAGTACAAGATGCCATTTTTAAATCACCTCTACCTTAAAAAATCAAATATCGGACCCCCAATAAATTAGTTAATACAGGGTAGTTAATACGATTACATATAAATACTATATCCAATAATTACTTACCTTTTTTTTTTTTTTTTTTTAGTTTTGCAATACTTACAACCAACTGCTATCATATTTACGTTAACAACTCTTTAACATATGAAGTAGTAAATACGGAGTAACAATAAATTTGATGTATTGGAATAAAACTAGTGTGTACCATTTTGATTAATTATTTTCTTTATAATTATTTTTATCAACCTTTCAGTATCTTTTATTTCCCCAAACTTTATCTTACTTTTACTTCGTATCACATAAACCTTAATTGTAAGTTATGAATTACAATATTCTAAAATACGAGTACTTGTTTTAGACCATACTTTCTCCACACTATCATATTCTAAAACAGAGGGAGTAATTTTACCAAAATTTGGGACAAAATATAATTATTCCATTAATATTTAGGATGAAGACTTGTATAAAATGTGGTTTGCCCCCTTCATACCCAAAAAGGTAAACAAGCAAAACATAAAGGTCAAGACCTCCCATCAAAATATAATCTCAAATTGAAATAAAAACAGAGAACAATCTATCTCTACCTACCTATGAAAAATTGTGAAAAATTGAAAAAATTATAAAATTCAACCTTTGCAAATACAAAAAATTCAATCTCTCTCTCTCTTCCTTCTTTCCCTATCTATGTCCTGTACTCCTGTTTGGCAATATCCCAGCTCACATTTTTCCAGTCGTAGGTTCCTTTTTTTTTAATTTAATTTTTTTTTTGTGGGTGGGTGTTTTTCTGAAATTAACACATACACAACTTTGAAGCTTTCCCTCTTTCTCTCTCCATCTTTTCTTTAATAAATTCCTTCTCAGTAGCTACTCATAGAATCCCAAATCTAGAGAGAGAAACAAACACATCAAATTACATTACACAACTCAGCTTTTTAGAGAGAGAATCACCAACTAAATTACTTCAATTCCTTCCTTCCTTTCCCAAAAGAGATAAAACAAAGAATAACCCCATCACATGAATTTCAACTCACAGATTTGATCATCCAATTCCTTTCTGGGTTTTTGTGTTCTCAATTTCTACTCAGAGAAAAACAATTTATTATTTTTTTGATTAAGTAAAAAAAATGTGGGATCTCAATGGTTCGCCTGATGAGATTACTAGAGCCGCCGCTAGAGGCGGAGGTTACCCAGAATCAGAAGGCGGTTCCTCCCAAAAAACGACGTCGTTTGACGGCGACGATAAGAATTCCACCTCCTCCGCCGTCGTTATCGACGACTCTGGCGAGAGATCCGACGGCGATGACCCCGGCGGCGACAGAAAGAAGCGTACTACCAACTATCACAACAGCAATAGCCGTCGCCTTTTCGGGTTTTCGTTTATTACCAACAATAATAATAACAATAACATCAATAATAATGATGATGAAGATGAGGATAATTCTTCATACTCCGGCGATCCTCCGGTGACACGTCAGTTTTTTCCGGTGGAAATTGATGTTTCCGGTGGAGATGTTGCTGGTTCTTCCGCTGGTAACTTTTCTAAACCGGCTCATTGGGACGGAACTAAGCTATACCCAACATCGGATACTATGGCTGCTGCTACTTTAATGGGCCCAACTGGTGTTGCTAAGCCCACTGAGTTGGCCCAGCCCATGAAGAAGAGTCGACGAGGCCCACGTTCCCGGAGCTCTCAGTATCGTGGGGTTACTTATTACCGGCGAACTGGCCGTTGGGAGTCTCACATATGGTTCGTTAATCTTAATTTCATTTCCCTCTATTTTTCCATTTTAATTTCATAAAATAAATAAAATAAAAATCTAAATATATTTTTTTTCCCTTTTGTTTGGGAATGTGTTGATGTTTTTTCTCAGGGATTGCGGGAAGCAAGTTTATCTTGGTAATTTCCTTTTATTATTTCTGTGATAAAATTCTTGCATATTTACATAAATTAAAGTTATTAACCATACCGAATTTGGTATCAACAATTTTTAAATGTTATATAAACAGGTGGATTTGACACGGCTCATGCGGCAGCTCGGTTAGTATATTTTACAATATATCGACAATGAATCAAACTAAGGGCTTGTTCGTTGTCGTTTTTATGGTTAGTTATCGAATGTATGGTTAAAATCGGAACTAACAAAGGTTGAATCCATTGACAGTGCGTATGACAGGGCAGCAATAAAATTCAGAGGAGTTGATGCCGACATAAACTTTACCCTTGAAGACTATCAAGATGACTTGAAGCAGGTTAGAGGAATAATGGAATCAACCAACAAAAGAATGAATGAACAAATAAAGAGAGAGAAATACTACTTTTGTTGTTCCTTGTTTGGTTGGTTGGTTGGGAGAGATTAAGGGGATTTGGATTTCACACACCCCCTTATCTTCTTTGCACTAATGCTTACCTTTTACTGCTCTTCTACAGTTTTTTTTGGTTTCTCTTTCCTTCTTTTTTATGTTGTTTCATGATGCTGTTTTTTCTCTCTTTTTCAAAAGCTAAACATAACCTAAGATTATTAATATTAGTACGGAGTAATTAAACTATATAACGTGAGATATTTATGCAAATGTATGTTTTTTTTGGTATCATAGATGGGAAATTTAACCAAGGAGGAATTTGTTCATATACTTCGCCGACAAAGTACCGGCTTTCCTAGAGGAAGTTCTAAATATAGGGGTGTTACATTGCACAAATGTGGTCGTTGGGAGGCTCGTATGGGCCAATTCTTAGGCAAAAAGTATTTCCCCCACTTTTTTTTTTCGTTTCTTCGATTTTTTCTCCAATTGCTATTATGTAGTGTGATACTAAAATGAATTTGTTTTGATTAATTTTGTATAGGTATGTGTACTTGGGGCTCTTTGATACCGAAGTTGAAGCTGCTAGGTTTGTGCTACCTCTGTTCGGATTTAGTTGTCGAATTAGTAGTTTACCTTTAGTTGGGTGTTGAAGTTTTGGATGTGATTTTATTTTGTTATAGGGCTTATGACAAGGCGGCAATAAAATGTAATGGGAAGGACGCAGTGACAAACTTTGATCCTAGTATCTATGAAGAAGAGTTGAAAGCAACTGGTATATAATATCCCATTTAATTGTACTTGTTAGTAGTCTATAAGCTATGATTGACATTTGATCAATGATGAAAGTCATGTTTTTGGTTGGTGTAGAATGTTCGAGTAGTGGTGGTGGGGCTGGTGGTGGTGCTGAGCACAACCTTGATTTGAGCTTGGGAGGATCGTCGAGCTCTCGGAAAAATGCTGGTCTTGATTTTCGAGATAGTAATCCCGCAATGCTAGAGCAGCAGCAACAACAATATCCAAGCTCAATGCAACTTGAGCTAAATTGGCAAAATCAAGGCTCTAGGCCTAAGGTAATACTACAACAAATTTAATTGTAATTGTATCAATCTTTAGTTAATTTGAATCGAGGTAGCTCGAATCGATAACTAGATAATCGAGTTTTTCATCAAATTAACAAGTTATCTTAGTAATGTTTAAAAACTAACTTGTGGATTATTTAATTTCCTTGTTGGGGTTAGGATGCATATCAGGATCATGCTGAGACTATGCAGCTCCTTAGTCAAACTCGGCTTCAATCATCTCCAACCTCGTTACAGCCTAAGGAAATGTCATCGATGCATAATCGATATGCTGGCCAAATGCCTGTTTTTGTTCCTCCTCATCTAAATTCGTCAAATTACCATCATCATCAAGTGTGTATTTCCCGTTGTTTGTCTGTTTGTTTTGCTAATTAAAGACGTCGGAACATGACATTAACTGATTTTGTAAACATGTTTGGATGAAAATAGATTCAATTTCCAAGCAGCAGTAACGGGGGCAGGATTGATCTTATGTTGTCTTCATCAAGCGCCAACATTAATAATATTAATAGTAATTGTAACGAAAATCGACAACAACAACGTCAACAACAGCAACAGCAATGGCAAGCTGGGCCTCATCCCCAAATGTTTGCTACTGCTGCAGCATCATCAGGATTCTCACAGCAGATATCAAGACCCCCACCAAATTGGATGCCTCCTAATAATGGCTTCCATCCTCTGATGAGACCCTCTTAAGATAATATCATCTTTTCCTTGAAAAAAAAAATAATCTCTAAATCAATTTCATCCTCTTTTCCCTAATTTAACCCTCTTTTTTTTTAATATATTATATATTAATTAATGTAATTAAAGCCTAATGCTTTGTGATTTTATTTTTTTGGATTTGGGGAAATTTGGAAGAACCCCAAAGAAAAAGGGGAAATTTTCCATGTTATTGAAACCTTATTGGTCAAACTAACAGTAAAAGAAAAAAAAAAGGCTACAGAGGTGAATGAAAATTGAATGCTAATTTATTCAAGCATACTTTTTTGCTGCTAAATTTATCTACTCTACATTTAATTTCTGTAATTTTATAATGCTTTCTAAGTTAGGAAATAGTGAAAACGAGAAAAAAAAAAAAGAAAAAAAAGAATAATGAAGAAATGGTAAGATTTGGTGGTGGTGTTAAGATAGACGGATGGAAAATGAAAAACAAACAGTAGTTAAAAAATGTAGAGGAAAGAAGAGAGAGGTGCAGGAAAATGCAGGTGCCTAAAAAAGAGATTTAAGTCTGGGAAATATCACCCGGATGGTGATGAATGGTCACTATCTTTAGGGGGTGTCCTTTGAATCAGTTCTATTGATCAAAAAAGTATTCACTCTTGTCTTTGTTATTATTATGAGAGAGACTTTTCCCCCTTTGTAACTCCATCCTTCTTGTTGCCTGTGTTGCCTTCTCTCTCATTTAGCATTTAATCATAGTAACATAAATTATACAGCGAATTAATAGGCGGGATTCTAAATTAATAATTGCTCGTCATTTGTAACTTTAACAAGTGACTATCGATGCTTTTAGACTCTATATTAGGACAAAATAGACTTTCTTAACGTAATATAACATTACAAAAACGCGGTTAATAAGTTGCTGAAATTTTTTGACCATGTGTATTCATTTGTATATTAGAATTGATATATGAGAATAAATTATTTATATTGGCGTTTTTTAAAAATTATTGCGTCCATGTGTAATTTTTTTAAACATTGATATTTTATTATAATGCGTAATTAAAGATATAATTCCTCAAAGATACTGTGTATAGAAGTATGTGATTATTGTAAATGAAACAAACTTTTAGGCTTGAGATATAAATTGTACACTATTCACTTCTACTAAAACCTTAAAATCGTTGAATCGTACATTATAAAGTTTGTAAATCAACAATAACAATATATAAAGATTGTAAATCAACTATAGAAAAACTTGATTAGTAAATTGCAATCTCATTTAGCAAAAAATACTTTTGATGGTTGATAAAGATCTAGCTAAAATGTAAGGGTTCAACTATTCTTACTAGACACTCGAAAGTAAAGTAGGGAAAGATAAATAATCCCTATTCTTAAGCACCTTCATTTGGTAAAATTCAAACTTCGAGTCTATATACAAAATCTAAGATAAACTTCATACCAAATTAAATGAGCCAAATATTATTTATATTTAAGGGTATAATTATTAATTATGTGCTAACCAAAATTTTAAAATTAAGGTTAATTATAAAATTATAATAGTATTTATTTCATGATTTCTCTTGACTTTACGAGTTTCTTTTAAAAATTAATGATCCCTTGTTAATAAATTAACTATTACTTATTTCTTGATTTTTTTTGTAGAATATTTGTCAAAATTATAACAATACTTAGAAATGGAGAGAATTTTATGTACAATTTATCCCGTATTCAAATAAAATAAAAGGTTTGTAGCTAGAAAAAAGGAGAAATAGGAATGCATGTGCAACTTTGATTACTAGTACTAGAAGAATAGTCTCAAAGGGATTTATTTCTATGATAAGTTGAATAGTAGCTATCTAAAATTTATTCAGATTTAGCTATAGCATCTATATTGAGTATTGACAACCCTAGCTACTTGCGAATTGCGATGTTTAGGGCGTATACAATAATACTACTATCGCCTCTAGAGTACTATACCTTTATTAGGAAGCTTGCACATTGATCTTCTGACATATGGTTAGCTCATTATTAGCTTATACCTAAAACTTAAGGCAAATTACCATTCCCACCTTTACCATAAAGTTTGCGCATACAATGACATTTATTTATTTATTTATTTATTTTATGTTTAATAGTCCTTTTATCCAATTTTAATTGGTACAAGTAATTTTGGCAATGATTTTTAAAGTAGAAAGCTAAAATAGAGGGATTATTGATTGTGTAGAGTGTTTCATCTTGCGGACAAGAGATCAAAAAATGATTAAATGTTGCGACTAATTAATTAAAAAAAAAATTGTGATACTTAAATTGAAACCGAGGGCATATTTGTATTGATCATTATTTTTTTTTTTTTTTTTTTATTATGCTCTTAGCTCTCTCCATTTTTATTTTCTAGTTTTTATAGGTGTTTTTTCAATTCATCAATTTTTATTTTTGCTATGTTTCTTTTCTAGCAATAAAAAAATGTATTCTATCTATTTTACACTTTAATCTCTTCTCTTACTATATGAGCCACTAATTTCCTCACTATGTTTCATTTTATTGTTACATTTTTTCAAAAAAGTAATGACTACTACGTGTATTTTATTAAGTGTATTGAAAGAAGTGCGTTTTATTCACCGATGTGTTGCTATCAAGAAGCTAAGTGAAATTGATATATCATCTGATTGAGGGAGGGAGGGGCCGGGATAAGTGAAGTCGTTGCGATAAACCCTATCGATAGGCCTTCAAAAAGTATGTGTAGAATTGCGAATGATGATTTAGGATTGAAAAAAGCACTGAGTTATTAGTGGATTATGTCTAGAGTCTTTCTGTAGTGAGTACGATTGTAATTCTCTTCATCTATTTACTAGATCTATCATATAAGTGCATCCATTCTTTTCCTTTAGCTATTCATGGATAGAAAGTAATTTCCTCATCCAAATTCCCCCTCATAATATTTTTCAATGAAAACCAAACCATATTACCATCAAGGCATCAAAGAAATAAAACCATTAAAGTATAATTATCCCAACTTTAACTTAATTTTTACCATAACGATCACTAGGTCAGACCAATGACAACGAATTCTAAGATTTACAACATAAACATAATCAAATTCTAAAAATCTGGAGTACAAACAAAATAAAAATTACAAAATTAACAATTTTATTCACAATTGTTATGATTTAGATTAAAGTATATTATAAAACATAAATTATTGTATGTAATATGACCTATTGACCTTTTGCACAATGAGACGAAGCTTATACATGCCGACCTAAGGGACATTACCTGGGGGTAATCTATAGAGTACGGGCAGGAATTTTTGACCATTTTCGAGTCTACGAGGATACGAGACCGATTCTTTAGGGTATTAACCTATTAATTATTGATGAATGATTGATATTTTCTCCAATAATTAATTAATTAATTAAAGAATTAGCTGCTACGTTACTAAGTAAAGTAATTATATTATTCAGAGTTTACTATATTTTAATCACATTTGCTAGTACAATGTACTCTCATGATAACTACTCAACCATCATGATTCATGACAAAACTATATAATATGATTATATTAACACCAACTGTCCTATGATTTAATTTGATTTTGTAAGTTTAAGGCTACTATTAGTGGTAAGTGGTCCAAGGTATATTCTGATCTAGCAGAACCACGATTCATTAATAGAAAATTATTATACTTGTACAATTTTATTATTTAGATAATGGCTTAATATCTCGTATCTTCTACTCTTTTCCTTGGGACCATTTTTTAAGTCATATACCTAATCTTTCCCTTTCTCCTCTCCCTTTCTAAATCAAGTTTAGTGTAGTACGAGTACTAATTTTACATTAATTATGACGAGTACTTTAACGACAATTAATTCGATGTTATAAATAGACCTCGTAAAACTGACATGTATCTAATTACCTTATCTTATTGTGTCTATAGTATGGATCATATCCACATTTACAGTCTTGATATCTAAATAATAAACCTTGTAAAATTTATGTTGAATTGATTGATTAATCTGGATATACAAGGTGATTGAGAATACACCTCAATATGATTCAATCTGAATAGATTCAAATTAGACGATTCATCACTCGAATACAACTTGAAAAAACATTTAACCAAATTAAAGGTGATATAATTAATAAACTAGTGTCAGATCTAGTCATCAACATAGAATGTGCTCGAATATGAATTTTTATTCAGTTTATTTTAAGGTAATAACTACGTAGATTTTTATGCAAAGTGGCGATATTTTAGATTAAACAATAATTAAACGACTTTAAGCAATCTTCATAAGCTGTCTCTGGATTAGGATTGGACCAATTCTATCTTGATTAGAACAATATAAGTATTAATGTACAATTATTAGTATATTTAATTTTTTGGAATATAAAAATGGCCACTATATCAACTTAGCATGCATGTCTAATCTCTCTTACTTAGGTATAATCCGACGTGTAATGTTTAATAAAATCTAATTAGAGTGATGAGGTCATTGCGGTCGTCATTTGAGAATTTTTTAGTGCCAAAAATATATAAAGGGTCTCTGTCGTAAGACGAATGCACAAGTTTGGTTCGAAATATTTAAATGTACGACTTTTTTTGGGTTAAGGTGTAAAAATTCTCATTATTATATGCTTCAAATGGTACAACAAATCTTAAAATTTTTAAGAAAAATAAAAGGTTGTACCACAATATTTTAGACCCCTTTATCAAATTAGCTGCCGGTCGTTGATATAATATTTTTTTGTAGTCGATTAAGCACGACAAATCAAACTTTATGCCGGTTTAGAGGTGAAATTAGGGCAATGACATTCATTTTTCTAATTGAGTAATTCACAAAAATGTACTTAATCTCTCGGAGTACTATATTTCTTTAGGTAAAGTACACATATAAGGGTTACCAAAAATATTGGGTATCAGAATCAGAGCCAAAACCGATAAATAACTATTGTTACTAGAATTGATACTAGAATACGTTCATAGTCAATTTTTTTTATATCTTTTATCTATCAGGTGTTCATCAGAGCTGATTTCGAAACAATAACGAACTTAAAAATGATCGATCTAGAAATCGAATGCTCATAAATATTTAGTCTTATAATAAAAAAAAAGTTATTAATAACAATAAAATAGGTTATATGTTCTATGTCCGTCTCAAAAAATTAGTCATAGTTGTCACTAAATAGTCGGTGATCTTTCGAAGGGAACTATAGCTCCTCACCTAAGGGCATTACAACATGCCCATGCATTCTGCTAGGGAGATGCGCTGCCTCAAAATGGTTTAGGAGATTTAATTCAAAACTCATCCCTCATACATACGAGCTCTTTCAACA